TTTTTCTAATGGCTCTTCCTGTTAAGTAAATATAAGGGTTTTGTTAAAGCAGATAATAAGGTGACTTGTTAGGAGTATATGGCTTTTATGTTAAACATCATAAATATGCCTATATACAAAAATTGATAGCAATTTGCTCATGGATTTCAGGCTTTTGAGTAATATGAAACAGGGAGGAATAGCAAGCTTGTATAAATATTACGTACTTTATTTTTTCAAATGTAAAACTTCTTGCAACTGAGTAGCTTTATAGTTCTGCATACATATCTGTACTTCTTTTTTAAAAACATTTCTATACCTAGTCTTGCTCATCTTACAACTTTCCAAAAGATAAGATAGGTTATTGACTATAGTGACGCTTGAGTATTTCAGGCTGAAGCCTAGGCTGAAAACAGTACTGCCAAGTGACTGAACTGGCGAGGTGTTATGGGCGTTCACAGAAATGGGCAGTATCCCTCTGTTGTCCAAATGTTTCTAGTAATGATCATTATATATCAATAAGTATATTCCTTATTTCTATGGCTTTTAAGAGTGAATCGTGGCTACCTGCCTGTATTTTCATGGTTTTTTAGAGTACTATTTCTTTGTACGTAAGATGTGACCCATGTGATCCTGGGAAGAGCTCGAGACATTTAGCTTTCTTTATCTGTACCTTTTAAACTAGTATTGGATAGTAAATGAGAGCAAAGCTAGGTTTAAGTTATGTTAGATTAATGAAGATCACTTGCTATTGCTGCAGCTTTTGGCAGCACTTTATTCAAAAGGAAAATGTAATTCATGTGTGTTGCTGAGGAAAGGCTGTGCCAGACCATATAAATGCAGGAAACAAGGTCCATTCTTAAAACAACCTTTTAAAAAATTATTTTGCTGATGTGAAGGAAAACACCGTTTAATTAGAAACACACGAATAAAAATGGTTAATGTTTACAGTGCAACTGAAATTAGAAATTGCAATCTGTAGCTGAAACAATAATATTCTTTCAGTGTTACTCTCTAATTTTTTTGTTTGTTTTTTTTTAATTTCATTCCATGACATGGTGGATAATAGAAAAGTTTTTCAAATTATACTGGTATGATGATTTAACAGAAAGCAAATATTCTAGCTTACAGTAATGTGTAAAGGGAGAGCTATACTCCCTGGCTGCTGTACCAATTGCTTAGAAATGCCTCACTCATACTTAGTGGTTGTTCTGAAATTCAATGACTGTTTTTATGCCAGCAGTGCTTACTTTTCTCTTTAGAAGAAACTCTTTACTAAAGCAAAGCTTGGCTGAAACTCTTATTCCAAAATTTCTCTCTGTTTTGATGCTGGAAATTTAGTTTCCAGTCACAATTTTTTAAAAACAAAATTACATGGTTTAGTCCTTCTGTAACAACAATAAATAACTGCTGTAAAAGTTGATACTTGAGTTGTAGTATTTGCACAGAAATTAGGAAGATAGGGCAGAAAGAGCTGAGATCCACTGACTGTTCTTATGTTGGCTGCATTTTTGTATGCATAGAGCTGGGACAAGAAAATCCTTTTACCTTATACTAAGAATGAAATACTAATTTGGAACAGTGCCTTTTCACTCATTTGCAATGTTGGACTCTGTTAGGTGTGTCAAAGCAGCAATACCTTAGCTTAGTAATAGGAAGAACTGAGTCAGGTGTTTGACATTGTACTTTCCAGAAATTGTTCCGTGCAGGATTTTTCTTTTACCATATTTTGTGCTGATGGAAAGAATGCTTTTTATTAAAAGTGTGAAACTTAAAGGGGAGGTAAGCCTGTTACTTATTGCTTCAACCTCTTGCCAAGAATAAGCTAACCATGGGTGGATATAATATTGCTCTAGCAGTCAAAGGCATCTGAATATGTTGTGGTAGAAAAATATGCTGCCAATTTTCAAGTAAATTTTCACTGTTGACATTGCTTCAGATACTAATGCACAGAAAACAAGGTGAACTAAGGTGGTGGTGGGAGTAACCAGTTCTGTAGTTTACAGAAAGTTACAGTGAGAAAATGAAAGATAGTGTAAATTCTTTCTATGGAGATACCTTAAAAGTCCTAGAAATACTTAAGGTTAAGATTTCAATCAGGTAGTGATCACAGGTTTTTGTGTAGTCCTCGTTGAAGGTACGGCAAAAAACTAACTTTTCTGAAGAACGAACTCTCATGTGTGCTCCAAATCTTGTATACTTTAGATAGGCTGAGCATCCTTTTATATAAGGATAACTGGTAACCAGTTAGTTAACTGCAGAACTGTGTACTTAAACCCTTTACTGAGATTCAGTTTAATTACTGCTAAATCATGTTGGCAGATGTACGTTTTCGAGGGCTGTGAGAGTGCTTGCAAAGTTTTTGCTGTGGGACCACATTCCTTCAGCACAAGCAACTGCAGGAGCTGAAGTTGTCGTGTAGTTAATTACTGACAGAACAAATGCTAGGCAAGGAGTGAATGCAAGTGTTGAATTCTGTCTATTTGGAGAGAGGAAGTCAGAATCTCTGCTTGTTTGCTTGATATTTTGTGTTGCTTATGGTTGTATGTTACTCAAATCCTGATAAAAATTTAGAACATTTGCTGAAAGTGTCTGGAGTGTGTCAAAGCAGCATCATATCATGGTAGTGACACTGCTACTGCCACTGTTATGGACACCATGGGATAATGTTTACTTGGACATTTTGTGTTTCCAGTTCCATCATAATATCTAATTGTTTACTACTTGAGAATGAAAAGGCATCTGGTATAGAAAAAATATCTGACACTTTAATCTTTCTTGATTAATCTCTTAAAGGTAATGAGGAGGCTTTCTAGGGCAGGGTAATCTGTGTAATACTGTTTTAGCTTTGTTTACAGCAGAAAGTAGGATGTAAAGAGAAGTGACAAGACATAGCATTGCAGATGTCAAAGATGTGAAACCATATGAGCAGGAGTAACTTGTATTCTTAAAACATAATTATCCTGGAGCCTGCTTGGCTAAACCTACTTGGTTAGATATTGGTTCAGTAATGGTGGAACAGGGGCATGCCTCTAATGTGGGTTTGCATAGGTGTGATAAATGTACTGTGACCTGGGAGAGAAAGGAAGTATGGAATTGGATTTTTGAGTGCTTTGAAGTTGTATTGTGGCTTCATCTAGGAACATGTAATACTGAGGACACGTAAACAAATATTTCACTTTCCACCTGCAAGGGCTGGGGAAGTGACAAGTGGTACAAACAGAACCCCTTGTGAAGACTTTTTTGGTGAGAATTACTAAATTTTGTGGGTATGTTGGTAGCAGTTGTTAACTTGAGGGAAATTGGAATTTGTCGTGTGCCTAGCAGCTTTCACTATAAATAAACAAGGTCAATTAAAGGCCTTACTATCGGAGTGAAGTCCTTGCAGCTTGGTTTTCTGTTCTTACTAGTTCATGGCATTCATCATATGTGCTATTCTTTATATTAACATTTTGTAAAGCAAAAGAGACTGTAATTATAGGAGATACTGTAATTTGGCTCTGTTCTCTTACAAAGGCATTTGAATGACAATTGGAGAGTAGATAGTCTAAAAGTATTGTGTCTACAGATTACTCTCAAATTAATTAAAATGATTTTCCTTTAACACAGATGAAGAAGAATAGTTCAATTCAGTCAACCTTTGCCTGGCAGAAGAACTTTAAAAAAAAAAAAAAACAACAACCCCCAAAAACCCAACCACCAGAAACCCTCTAAACGCTGTTTAAAAATTCAGAGAAGGAAAGCTTTTTCAGAACCTGCTGCAAATACCTGTAGATTGCAGGATGGTTGCAGACTAGTGCAGGCTGTGCCTACAGTTCTTTCTAAACAAGGTATCTTCCTGTACCAGAAACTAGGCTAGATTTCTTTTTTTTTCCCTTAAGGTGAATTTCTTTGAAGTAAAAAAAAAAAATCTGCCATGTATATATATGCAAACACATATACTATGCAAAATAATGTTTGCTTTCTAATGTACTTTTGTGTTCTCATAGTTGTTATGTGCTTTTGGGAACAGCAAAGATCAGATATGTTGAGATCTGTGAGAAATAGCGAGTATTGTTAACAGTTGCTGCATAGACTGTCAGAAGATCGTATCCAGGAACTTTCCCTAATTCTTCTAAAATCAATTGAATTGGAATAATTGTCATCTATATATTTTCTGGAGCAATAATTTGGAGAAGAGTTTAAATCTTACAAGTACAAACATACGAATTACTAATGCTGCACAGATGGCTTGCAGTGACGTTGGACGCAATCACTTTTCTTGCTATATTTTTTCCAATGTGTAATGGTAAATACGATCCTCCAAAATGGTGTTATTTCAGTGAATACAAATACGCAGAAGAGCTTGAGCATGAAACGGATCTGATTAATGTTTTGTGATGTAGATGACTTGCAGTGTGTAGTGCAGCTGATTGATATTTGTGAAGTTGGAGGCTTTTTGAAACTACAGCTGCTAGTGAGAAAGAAAATGTATAGCTAGTGTTATCTTTTCTACAGCGACTTACCTTTTATGTAACGTGTTCTCAGTCTTCATTTCCTTACCTCAGGGTTACTTGAACTTGTTAGTTGTTTGTCTTCGGTGTACGTAATGGCCTCAATTCTACCTGTAGAACATATGAATTTGAGGTGTATTTGAAGCTAAAATGAGTAATCGAGAAGGCTTGTGATTTCCCTGCTGTGAAACAAGTGTTGTGGCAAACTTCAGCACCTTAGGGATAGCTTCTGCGTACTGAGTCTTGTGGTTTCGTGAGCGTATTTACGCAGTGAATGCTGTAATTATTTTTTCCAAGAGGGAACTCATCCACGTGAATTCAAGCCCTCTCAGCAGATAGATATGTGTTGAATCTAAAAAGCTTTCTTTAGTGTTTTGCTAGATGTTATTAAAAGACAAATGGAAGGTCAGGCTGGGGAAGGGAATGTGGTGGGTGGGTGAAAGATGGAAGCTATGTTTGTTTCTTTGCCAGGGAGGCAATTCCAGAATATCCTTGGGGGAGGATAATGATGAATTAAATTTCGGCAAAATGGAGCACTTAACAGTTGCAGTGAGTTTAGCAATGGTAACTGACCTAGGTCCCTTGTATACCTTGCCTATTTGCTTGGGTACCTACTAAATCAAGCTCTGAAAACGCTACAGAAATTTGAACGTCATAAGATGAGCATAATAGTTCATATCCTAATGGACTGACAGCTGCTTAGAACTGTGTTATGAAAATCTCTTCTTTAAAACAAAGCAGAATCCAACATTCCTTCCAAAAAGCTGTCTCGGAGCTTCCTCTTTAGGTGTCTTCCAAAATGAGTCTTCTGTGAAAGGTTCCCTTCCTCTAAAGTGGCTTTTTCCTTCTGCTGATGGAGCTTTATTTTAAGGGTGTTGTGTATGGGGAGATAGTTCTTGTGTTGACTGTAGGTGATCTGAATGTTTCTTTTTGGTTTGAGGTTTTTAAGAAATATTGCCAAGACAGATATTCTGTGTGATGTGGCACAAGCTGTTCTTTATAATTTGGGTTTACCAGAGTACACCTGCTACCAGAGTAGACGAGAATAAGGGGTTCTCAGAAGTACGGACTCTAGGCATTGGTTTACCTTGTAAATCAAGTAAATTGAGGTCATGTGGCAGAGTAATTTTGGAGAACTATTAAGATCGCACTTCGAAACCAAATATATTTAATTCAAGGCCTTACTTTTAGGGAAGCATGTGAAGATTTAGGCAACACTATATAAGCTGATTTCCTTGCTACAGTCTTCAAGAGCTTAAAATAAAACAAAAGTTTGGGCTGAGACAGTATAGACTGCTTCTAAAATATATAAACAAATGCCTTTTGGTTCTACTTCCAGTATCTGGGTTTTTTTAACAGATCTTCTGTGTCTTTTTTTTTTTTTCCCCCCCCCTGCAGTCCAAGCCATATATATTTGACCGTGTATTCCAGTCAAACACATCACAGGAACAAGTATACAATGATTGTGCTAAAAAAATTGTCAAAGGTAAGGTGGAACAGCAACTTTAACCATAAGGAAAAGTCTCATTCATGTGGATTTCAGTGTTGAAAACTGATACTTCTATTGCTCCCTTTTACCTTCTAAATGTTTAATAAAAGCCAACATGGATCATAGCAGTGTAAAATCATCCTGTAGGTGAGCTGATAATTTATGTCAGTGCTTAACCTGCTGTTTCAGTTGATTGCTATGTTTGATAACATTTACCTGTCATGTTCTGGGTTTTTTTTTTTCAGTTTTCTGCAAAAGATTATTTAAAACAATTTGTCAGAAATTAATCAAAGTAACTCTTATGAGTAGTTTCGTGGGGTTTTTTTGGGTGGTGGTTTTTTTTTTTTCCTTTCAAAATTTATTGGTGAAAACATCCCACAATTGCTTTTGTTTGTTTGGGGGAACATAAGAGGAAAGGAAGCTTGTGAAATCATGTGTATGCTATAGATCTTTTCTAAGCTTGTTTATTTAATGCACAGTTTAACAGGGATTTTTTTAATGTGATTTTTAGCTTCACAATTAAAAGTTTAAATGTGAGATATTGCTGTGGATGTCAGGGTGTACAGTTTCTCCAAACTTGAATTGGCCTAGTACCTTCATAAAATCAAGCCTTATCACAAAGAAGGTTATACCCACAGTAAATTGTTGTAGTAAGCAATTAGCTAGTATCCTAAAAATAAAATTGATTAATTTCTTGAGGAGATACAAGTTCTAATTGACACAACTTTCAAAACAACTTTAACAAAGCCTTCCCCTGAAATGCCAACTATTCGTGACAAAAGAAGGTTGGGTAAATGTAGGTGTTTTTTGATCATTAGAAGAGTGAATTGCTGTGGAAAATCCATGCTGCTGCAAGTATTTAACCCTTTAATGAGTTAAATAGTAATCAGGATTAGATCAGAAGTTTGCTCCTTAAAAATTGGAGTTAACTAAGAATTGTAATGCTGCCCCTTTCCTCTGTGTAAAAGTCTGATCTCTGAGTCTCTGTGCAGAACAGAGACTTTCTAGGCTGTGCGACATCATGGGGCAAGTGAGCTCTCGTGGTGGTACAAATGGATTATGGGTATGATGGGGTGGCAAAGACTTCCATATTTGGAGTATCTCATGCTTTTTTTTAAAATAAAAGTTTGCTTGCAGGATGTGATTCTACAGTAACTGACTTGTAAACAAACCAACCCACGAGCCCCATACCCCTCAATCTAAAACTCGGGTTGGTTCATTCATAATTTGGAATATAAGCTTATGGTCAAAGAGTAAAATGCTTGAAACTTACAGCATAGCCCATTCTCTTCACAATTGGACAACTAAACTTCCTTGAAGGCAGAAAATATTATAGCATTCTCATGTATGGTGGTTTCTTCTGAGTTATCAAAGACTATTTGTTCAACCTGGCAGTTGTATCGATTTCCTTTTTGTTCCTGACTTTGAAGTCCTGATTTTTCTGGTTGAAGGAACAGATGCTTCTAATACAGTAAACTTCTAAAACGCAGTCAATGATGATTTAATGCATTAAAAGGGGTAGGGAGGAACACTCTCTCTCCCCCCTACTCTACCACAGAGTTCCCAAACTCTGAGTGATTTAACTTGCTGAACACTTTAGGAACTGCCTGCTTGCATTCTATTTCATTTGACTTTCCTTTAGAAGAAGGAAATGA